CCGGGCGCAGCGTGTGCCCCTCCGCTCGCTCCCCCAGCCTCTCTCCTGCCAGTGACCCGGGAGAAGAGGATTGACCTGGAGAAAGGCCAGACCCAGAGAAACGTTTTCCTCTGCAAGGTGCTGGGAGCCAGGGGCGCAGGCAAGTCCGCCTTCCTGCAGGCCTTCCTCGGCAGGAGCCTCGCGGTGAGTGGCTGCTCCCCTCTCCGGCTGCGCTGCGGCAGGGCGTCCCACAGCGGAGCAGGAGGCAGAGCCGTGAGGCCGTTGAGCAATCTGCTGTGTGACCGCACCTCCCTGCCCACGGCCAGGCCTTGGCGTCCTGGCAAAGGACTTCGCGCCCCGCTCCGTGCCGGCGGAGCCAGTTGATGCGGCTGTTGCATCCTTAATTTTGCCTGAGGCAGCACGCCTGCTCCCTCTGCTTGTCCCAAGGATTTGGAGGGGCTGTACCTTCCCCGGGCGGCCGTGTCTCCCCGAGGCGATGCTGGTTTTCCTGGCACGTTACAAACAGCCCCACGTCTCGTGTCAGGCTCCGGCCGGCCTTCAAGTGGTTGTTATGCCACAGGGGCTTGGGGCGGTGTGAAATGCTCTCCCTCCCCCAAGCATTGCTTTTACTCCCTGCTGTCTGAAACGCTGCTTTCATCGGTGGTAGGCCCAGAGGGAGAACCCAGGAGAGCCGTCCCTCTACGCGATCAACACGGTGCAGGTCAACGGCCAGGAAAAGTACCTTATAGTAAGTCAGGGAGAGGAGGGAACGGCACGCAATCTGTGCGCCGGTGTGAGAAACAGCTCGTCTCCTCGAGATGGTGCTGTGCCACGTGTCCTTTCCCCTCCTGCCCCAGCTGTATGAGGTCAGCGCCGACACAAAGTTTGTGAAACCGTCGGACGCAGCCTGCGATGTTGCCTGCTTCATCTATGACCTGAGCGACCCCAGATCCTTCAGCTACTGTGCCAGTATTTATAAGGTAACTGGCAGGGCCCCTGCGGGACTTCAGCCTCTGTGTGGCAGTCCCACGTCTCCCAGGGGCTGGGCGTTTACCCCTCGCTGGGACTGCTCCCTCTCTCTGCAGCAACACTACATGGACAGCCAGATCCCCTGCGTCTTCGTGGCCTCCAAGACAGACCTACCAGAAGCGAGTCAGCAGCCTGGGCTCTCCCCCACCGAATTCTGCTACAAGCACTGTCTCCCACCGCCCTTCCTCTTCTCCTGCCACGGCCAGGGTCCGCCCAGTACCACCGTCTACACCAAGCTGGCGACCGCCGCCACCTTCCCGTTAGTATCCTTCCCTCGGAGGGGACTGTCGACTGGGAGCAGAGCTTGGGGAGGGGGGGTGTGTCTGAACCCTGCTTCCCCCGCATGGCTTTTGGTTTGGTTTCTCTCTAGCTCTTGGTGTCATCTGCTCGTACAAGGAATAGAAACAAACAGGCCACTTCTTCCCCTGCTCAGAGAGGGTGCAGGCTCTCTTCTGCCTTGTGTCTCTCTCTGGTAGATTTATTAGATAGATCTTGCCACAGTTTTTATTTTTGAAGCCTAAGATAAAAAATGCTGAAGGGGAGTAGCCAGCCTAGTTTGCTGAGACCCGCAGAGGAGGGTGGCAGCTATTTTCTCCTGTTGAGGTGGATCAGGCTGAAAAAGAGGTCAGTGAAGCGAGACCTGTTCGCACGGCCTCCCTGAAAGGGGCTGGGCGACGGCGAAGGGCAGCAGCCAGGCCGCTCACGGGCGCTGAGGGGACATCTGGGAAGGACAATGTGTCTGCGTGTGGCATCGCGCCGCTCGAGGGGCGGAGGGGGCTGAAAGCTGAGGGTCGGCGCAGCGCCGGGGGCAGAGCCCTCCTGGGGAGAACATGTGGGTGCGTTGGAAGACAGGATGGGATTACTAGTGAGTGGTTTTCCCTCTAGCTTCTTTTCAATAAACAACTTTATTTTTAGAGCTGACACTTTTTTTCCCCCCCCCCTCTGCAGTATTAAAATTTAAATATTCTTAATATATCTTAGGGTATGTGGTATAAATAAATAACAGCGTAATGGAGGGCCAGGGATTGGCTGTTCTCCCCTGATTTAGTGGAGAATGAATAATTGATACGTCTTCCCTCCTTGGAGAGGAGCACGTTAATGCAGGACAGCACGTGTGTTTAGGAAGGGAATGTGTACGTCGGGGCAGGACTGGGCCCCTTCCCTCGCTGCCCTTAGGCCAGCGTCCCCGGCTGTGCCAGCGTCTTCGCCGGCATCCGCTTCTGGGTCTCGGTGCACTTGGAGTTGTAAAAGCAGCTTGACCTAGAAAGGAAGATACGTTACCTCCTTGCTCGTACTAATTATTTAGGTGTTGGTGTGCTATTTCCAGACCACGGGAGGATAAAATCACATCTGTCCCACCAGCGGGGCTGGAAGCTATCGTTCGGCATGATGATGACGATGATGCCGGGTGGTGGGTGCTCTGGCTTGTGGAGCCGGGGAGCCTCTCGCTGTTCTCTGCCTTCAGCTGGCGCTGTGCCGTGGTCACCCCCGGGGACACCCCCCACCTCCCCGCTCGCTGCGGGGAAGCGCTGCGGGCTGCCGGGGAGCTCGGCGTTTGGACGGCCGTCTCCGTGCACCTCGCTCACTGGCCTCTTCTCTCTTTCCTTGCAGCCACTTGAACGCCGTGGAGCTGGGAGCTGCGTCCTTGCTGTTCTCTGCCTTCAGCTGGCGCTGTGCCGTGGTCACCCCCGGGGACACCCCCCACCTCCCCGCTCGCTGCGGGGAAGCGCTGCGGGCTGCCGGGGAGCTCGGCGTTTGGACGGCCGTCTCCGTGCACCTCGCTCACTGGCCTCTTCTCTCTTTCCTTGCAGCCACTTGAACGCCGTGGAGCTGGGAGCTGCGTCCTTCGGGCTGCGGGTGGCTCTGGGGGCCGCGGTGACTGCTCTGGTAGGGGTCACGCTGTACCGCTTGCTAGCCAAGAACAAATGAGAGTCGCTCTTCACCCCGTCCTCCCTCTGA